ACAGGACCCCCACCACGACGTGCTACTCCCCACGACTTGTGGTCCTGGCAGTTGGCTAGTTAGTCCTCTTGCCTGCTCGTCACAGCTGCCCAGCTTCAGAGGTTGCCTCTGCTTCCCCATCTGTGTGCCGTTTGCTTATCGTCTTTCCTCCTCCGCACTCTGCTTAGCGTTTGCTTTTCTCAGCTGAGGGCCTGGGTGGGGCGAGGCTGCCTGTGGACGTGGTCGGCACGTCTTTGAAAACGCCAGGGCGGGGCTCGAGGATCCCGGGCAGCTGGCACACCTGCGTGGAAGCTGGTAGCTTTGTGAGTGAACGAAGGCATGCACGTGCCACCTCTCAGATTTCTGGGCCTGGAAACTTTTACAACCCTTTGAGCGAAAACAGGAGCTGTGCCGAGCCTCGGGGAAGTGGGGTGGGCACCACAGACAGCAATCCCACTTCACTTCCTCGCTCTCCTGCACGCTCTGCGGAAGGAGCAGAAAGGAAGAGTTCTGGACACAGTGCACGTAGAAACACTTTTTATTAATTCGTTAATAACAGATAAGCAATAACATACTGATACTTTTGTCATGCTTGATTTTTTTTTCTTTCCTTCCAGAAAACCTGGATGAGCAGGGATCAGGGAAGACAGAAACCATGCAAGATTCCACAAGGAGCTCAGCGGAGGGCCCGGCAAGCTGTCTCACATGACCATTTACAAAGTTATTTCTCTTTGGAAAATTAAAAAAAAAAGAGAGAGACCTCTAGGCAGGAAGAACACAATCCAGTGTGATCTCTACAGAAAGAAAGATTATGGAAAGCCATCACAAAGGGTTGCGATCTAGGTTGGTCTGTGTCTTTGAGGAAGACAAGGCATTTCCAGTTGACAACTCAATGGCAAGGGGTTACCCCCAATTTAGTAGAGGGGGACACGCCAGGATTGTGCCCGACGTCAAACTGAAGTCAACCAAAGGCTAATTTATTGCTAGTCAATGTCAGCGTGGAGAGATGCCTAACGTGTGATCAAGAAAGCTATGAGGACAAGTGAATGAGAATGTTTACAGATGTTTCCTATAACCTGGCATCCTCCAGATGTGTTTGGGAATAAAAAAAGGTTCTCCAAACTCCCAGCCATCTTGAGCAACGTAGAGAATTGTCATCCCGACTCATCTGGGGGAACCGGTTTATGGACAGCTGGTTGACATGTCAATGAGGATGAAATGTGGGTCCAAACTGGGGGACAAGTATCATATCCCACAACACAACACAACCATGATAGTGGGAAGGATGTAAGATGGAGTGGATTGGAAGATTCAATGTAACCGGTTGGGTTTTTTTAATATTATTTTATATATCTATACATAAAGCTCCCCAATATTTCACCAAGCTTGGGGTTTCTTCTTTTGGCCAGAATGCTACCCTCCCTAGATGCCCCAATAATCTCCACTTCTTACGTTCACCCCATTTCTCCTAATGGAATATTGTTGTCTTTTAGCCACTGTGCAACAGGTACGGCGGCCTGCTCCCCAGATGCCTGTGTCCCCAAAGCCCAACCCGGTTGGATTTCTGCAGACCGCACAGATGTGGAAGGCAAAGAAGGTCTTAACGGGGCAACCTTGTCATGTCAGGCAGCAGGATGGCTCTGCCAGCCTCTCCAAGGGGTTGACAAGTGTGTAAGGAAAAGAAGTTGGAAGGTCCTGCAGAGGGACGGGCAGAGGAAGTGGTCAAGGCCAGAGGAACCGGCTTCCCAAGGCAGGAGAAAACCCTGGACTCCAGGCTCAGCTTCAAAGCAAATGATGCAAGAGACTCAACAATATTCGAGGGGGAGCAAAGAAAATTTACAGTAGAAATGTCAACGTTTCGCCTTAGATCTCAGTGCCGAGCCTCCAGCGCCACAGAAGGATCCCCCCATCAGAACATCAAAAGTTTGCTACTTTCATCTCTGCTGTTTACATTTCTAGTTCATTCATGTTCATTCTTCATACCCACAAGCAGGGCCTAGCGCTCGGTGCTCTATTAGTCTGGGGTTTTTTTCTGTTTTGCCATCCCCAAATTCAGCAAAACTATTTTCAGTGAGACCAGTTTCTCTCAACCTTGGGAACTTGAAGATGGGTGGACTTCAACTCCCAGAGTTTTCCCAGCACCGATTACTAGTGCGG